TCCCCCCCCCCCCCTCCACATGGCTCCGATAACACCATTCCACGTCTTTTTATCGGCATTGTTCGCCACCTACTCAAAGTTATTCTCCCTCTACTTCAAATTTTCAGGAGAACCCTGGTAAATAATTAACACATACCTGTGTGACTTCTCTCTTTGCCAAGCTTGCCATGCTAAAATCAGTTTCATCTTGAACATCTGTTCTGCTGGTTGATGGTTCACCATTTGACTCATCTCCACTAAAGATAATGAAATGTTGTTGCAAAGTGATGTTGGTAGTTGTTTGACTTGTAATAAAAGAATATACAGTAAAACGCACACTAACCATTACGCCACCACACCTTAAATGCCTAAAACAACCCCAGTAAAGACCAAAGTAAAAAAAAGTAAAAAGTGAGAAGTAATGCCAGCACCTTTCCTCAAAGACCCTACCTCTGCACCCCACCCCCTCTAGTACTTGTGAGAGCTGGGAACAAGGGAAATCAGGCACACGACTAGTAGCTGCCATTAGATAGAAACTTTCCACCTGTTTCGGATCTTGGCGGTACATTTATGTTGTAGCTAAATTAATTTTGTTCTTTAGGTCAGAACTATTTCAACCTAGATTACTTTGTTTCAGCTTACATATAGGTTAAATTCTAATTTTTTTTTTCTTTTTTTTNGGGGGGGGGGGTCTCAAAAAGAATAACACACACCACTCACCCTTCTCAGTTTCTAACCCTACCCTAACCTACCCTACCCTGGCAGGATCTCATATCAATCCCCCCTAACTCTAACCCTAACCCCCTCTATTTCTTCTCTGACTTAGTAGTCCACCATCATCTCCACTATGCCATGCAAGCAGTCATTGTAAATTTCCTCATACTCATTGGTCCAATACATGTAAGTTACTGGTCCCAGACTCACCCTTCCCTTTGAAACAAATCAATCTACAGGTTGAAATCATTCTGACCTTAAGAACAAATAAACCTACAAAAGAACATCCCTAAACAACATATAAAAAACAAAATAAATAATCCATCAACCACTTAACTATGACATCAACATACATATACAATGTACATACACTGCTTTGAAGATGCTATCAGCTGCAGTTCCTTTCTTCTTCTCAATTTTTACAAGACAAAACATATCCTAATAACACAACAAACACAGATGCACTAAAAAATTTCAATCAGTTCATTCTAACCGTCAATGACAATTTTTGTTAATAAACTTCATCGCAGAGTCATTGACTGTGCAAACTCCTTCCTTAAATATGGAACAAAAAGAGTCCTATGTTTCTAACCTTTACTTTGGTGCACTCTGGAGCACACCTTGCTTTGAATTCTGTGCTGGGCTCCAAGTAACTGCAAATAACATTATTTTACAGTGGTTTACTTTTAAAGGTTCTATNGGCCAGTGTACAAGTAAATTCAAACAATGCTTTTTGAGCAGCTGACTTACTATGTGTTTGTGGAAAAGGTTATGACTCACAGCATTTTCTCTGTTCATTGCTCATTTTTGTAAAGTAAAGTACACTGTTACCATATGATTAAGAGATAATTTAAGACAATGCAGTAAGTTATCTAAATCAAAGTAACACTGCTAATGAAACACAGTCACCTCACCTCTGAGCATCTGTTAAGTCCATAGCAGTGATGAGATTATCCACAGCATCCTGTTGCTCTCCTAAAAGTATTAAAAATATGCTCACCTGGTGATTACCATTCAGAAAGAGTGTGCTTATTTGCTTACATTACATGTAAAATAGAAGGTGTTACTATATTTAGGATTTAAGAGAAAATAGAAATCTCCTGAGCAATCAATTTTGTACCCCTTCCAAGTTCAAAATATCACAGTAACTGTTATTTCCTGCTATAACTCCTCAGTTTTTTGAACCAGACAATAATTTTAAAAATTAATGTGAACCTATCACTGACAGGTTTAATAAATTAATGCTAAAAATTCTAGTACACTACATGTATACTGTATGTTAGTCTTCTTCTGTAAAAACAGTACATGTTTTTAGTATTCAGACATTATTATTTTTAGTTTGCTTCAGGGTGCAAAACATCTTGCCCTCTCTGTCTCCTTTCAGAACAAAAAAATGTGTTTGAGAAACTAAAAATAAGACACACAAGCCAACAAAATAACAGATTATATAGTACATAATATATAGCAATCTACAATAAGTTATAAACAATAATAATTAATGCTAAAATGTAATTAATTAATATGATAAATATAAGTACAAAACATTTTGAAATTAAATTTGAGATAATTTTAAATATTAAACTAATAATCAATGATAAAAATTATTTCATAATAATAAATAAATTAATGTCCTCTGACTCACTAGAGGGTTCCCATTTCTTGTTTTCATTTAGAGGTGCAAACATGAACTGTCGAAGGTCCTCCATAAATGGCAGTGCAGTGAACAGGAGACACTGGAGTCAAGTGAAAATCAAGTTAATGTTAATTATGCAAAGAAAAATATTAAAGGACAGCGTATGTTTTAATACAGTGGGGTCAGTAAGCTTAGTTTTCTTTGTTTTTATGTAGGTTTTAGACCCGCCCATATGCTATGAGTATAATAACTGCAAGAACAGGAGGGTCACTACTTTTGAGTCAGGAAGATACTCCAAGGTTCAGGACTGCTGAAAATTTTACCTGACTAACACAGTACTCCTACTTATTTGCCTTTTGCCGACAACATGTAACTATACAGCTACAACTGGAGGATACATGCATATGTCTAGGGTCTGAGTTGATGCTCGTAGCAAACAGGAAGAGATGGAAATAAACAAAATGTTTTCACTGTAAAGTACAGAACTGAGATGAACCAGCATCATTGCAGGCAAGTTGATTTCAATGTGGGCCCCCTATCCAGGCCAAATTGGAATTTTGAAGAAAACTAAGGTAACTAAAGAAAAAGTCCCTGAGTAAGTAAGGTAACAATCAATTAAATACTCAACCAACAAAGGATATGGAACCAGACTGGAATCAAACCCTGGCCACATTCGTGTGGGTCAGAGTCCTCTAACCGATGCTACAGCTGTAGCTGCAGTTACCCTTGCAGTATGAATCTTTAAATTAAGTATCTGACTAAAGAGATTGAAATGTTTCTGTCACTATTTATGTGTACCTCATAGTCTTGCTTGATGTGTGGAGACAGGAAACCTAGCTTTGGAGCAGCATTCTTCTGTCGGCAATATCTTACAATTGCTACAGTGTTGAGTTCATACATGCCATTTATAAATGCTGACAGTGCAACTGCTGCGTGCTGAAAAAGAACAAATATTTAATGAATGCTAATTTCATCTCATCTGATTGTAACTAACACTGTGAATGTACATTAACAAGAGCTTAAAGGAGTAGGTTGCTCCAAAAACCGTGTATTTTTTTCCACCACCAATAAAAAGTTCACATTGANTGTTGAGATAGAAAGCTAGACGTGTAGTGTTTTTACTTAACAACCACCTACATTTTCATTTGAAGTAAAACACAGCACTGACAAGCATCTTTCTGTGGGAAGCTTCATGCCGTCCTTGTCAATCTTGGTCAACGGAACAATTGTCTTTCCATATCGATAACCTAGTTTGCAGCAGGAAGAAGGTTAATTATGCAATATTTTTTAAACATGTAATTGAAAGTCAGAATAGTTATGTATGTACATGAACACTGTTCACAAACTTTTTCCATTACATAATTTCATTCAATACCTTGTGCAACATTTTCTTTGTCAACTTCAGTATCATCTTCATCATTCAAGTGATGAGACCTCTGCATTTGTACCTCCATTGTGTCAGGGTTTGGCGACATTTGCGACACAGCTGACAGCTTCTTCCATGATGCCAATTTTTCCTCCTTAACCTTTAACATTAAAGAGCATATATACAAAATCAGCTCTGCAGTAATGTACATCTGTAACTGCCTCTGATAGAGCTGCAAAACATTGTTTTGTGCCTCATTGTTTTAGGTCTCTTTCTAAGTTAAATTCATAAAATTAATTATATTTTTATCACTCTATAATTATCTTACATATGTGACCTCTCACGCGAAAACGTACACTACAGCTGTCTGTTTCAACGCTTAAAAACCGTCTGCTTGCTGTTTGCCATCCATTTGTCACCCATTCGTGATCAATGGGATGCCATTCAAACAGATTGGATCATCCACTCAGAAAAATTTCTAGCTGCTATCCGTTCGAAAAAAATCTTCATCCGTTCAAACGGGTGAAATTATCCGTTCGCAAAAAATCGTCATCTGTTTGAACGGTTGAGGTCACCCATTTGAATAAAATCTTCATTCGTTCGAAAAAATAGCTTTCCGTTCGAACGGCTGAGGTTATCCGTTTGAAAAAAAAATGCAGCCACTCAAACAGCTGATATTATCCGTTTGAAAGAAACTGTGGTGGTTAGAACAGCTAATATCACCCGTTCGGGAAAATAGTATTCAGCTGTTCGAACGGCTGCTGCTATCTGTTCACACAAAACTAATCAGCCATTCGATCGGCCAACGGTGTCTGATGGGATTCAGGTTTTTGAATGGTTGGGATTATCTGTTCAGAAGGAACTTTATTCAGCTGCCCGAATGCTCGTTTAAAACAAACATTCAACCTTTCCAATTCAAACGGCCACATTTGTCCATTCTGAAAGAAAAACTGTGTTTAAAATCACAGTTCAAGAAATAAATACTCTGAACAGATGTCATAACGGCTGATTTTGTGCTGTGTTACGATTGTTTCGAGCGGATTGTCAAGGAAACTGCTTTAAACGATAGCAATTAAATCCGCACAACGTGAAAGCTCGCTCACAATTTTCACCTTAACAGTGAAAAAAGTTATTTTGAAAAAGAGACAAAACTTTGAAAACTTGAAACTCAGACTCTAAAGGGCCATTAGAAAAGACGTTCTTTTTTCTTTCTTCTTAGTTTTTATTACAAAACAAGCTTTATACAAATTATTTGCATGGCATTGGCTTTTTTCAGGAAATATATCTGGAATAATTTCTAAGAACTGGACGGATTACCCTTAAGTATCCATAGACGTTAATTTTCAACTGTGAGCCAATTTCCAGGGGTCCTCTGAAGACTGTTGTTTGTTTGATTGATCTTGTCTGGAAAAAACTCAGCATTGGAAGAACATGACTGAAATTTAAAAACAAATTAAGGTAAATATAACTAAAAATGTGCTTGAAAAATTGCTCATGGTAAGTGTGATGGTCTTGGGATTACGGCTTGTCAGCTCATGTTCCCACAGCATTTCTCATTCTCCCAAACTTCCACTTGTGTTTCTATAACTCGAAAGAAACATGGTACAAGTTTTCTATTTCTTAAACGGTAATAGCCTAGCAAGTGGTTCATATTTTCTAAGCTTTTAGTGGTCACTACATGACAAAGAAAGAAAACTAGAAGAGGGGAGTTTTCTTGCTTCTCTTATCCCCAAATACTAAAATGTTAGCAGTTATATGTGGCATTAAACAAATAAAAGAGCACCTGAAGGAATATGTCTCCCCATCTAAAGCCTCTAATAACTGCCTCATACAATTCTCACCAGCCACCTACAAACAAGGTCAAGTATGTTCAACAAAACAGTGTTCTTCAGTCAACAACAACTTGAATACCCTCCCCCCACCGAAATTTATGCCCTCAAAAAGTGCCAGAATGTTGCAGGCTCATTCGATTTTGAAATCATGCGTATGATTTCAGACCAAACTGCACTCCACTCAGTTCAATTACTATATTATCAATCATGTTAGTAAGGATTTTTTTTCCAGCTAGTGATAATGACTATAGCCTGTTCCAGGCTCTCGGTCAGTGGCGATGAAAGAGCGGGTGCGGGACAAGCGGGCTCTGGTAAAAAAAGTAGAGGGCGTGAGAAGATTCTGCTCGTCCCGAGCCCGCTTTTTTGATCATCCCAACTGACCAAGAGCCTGGAACAGGCTACAATGACTATTGGGATACAACCACAGTTAATAGAGGGAAATGGTTAAGAAACTTGGCAAAGTTCTTTGTTGAATATTTTTGTTGGCTATTTTGGGGGTTGACCCTGTACAAAACCTGGCAAAATACAAAAGGCAGTTAAGAGTGCTTATACAGTGTTTTCAAAACAAGTCAGCAACTGCCGGGGTTCTGCCACCTACTTGATTATATATTGCTGGTTTCTCTGGTTACAGCAATCAGCTTGAGACAAACAAGNCAATCCAGCATCGATCAAGTATCAATCGAGTATCAATTGAGTGTCAAATTCAAGGGTATTGATCAGCACTTGACCAAGGATGCCTTTAGTACACATGATCCATTACATGTAAGAGCCATTAAATTTCGCCATTGAAAATGAAGTTTCACTAGCGAACAAAGACTTGGGGAAATTTGGAAGGTGCCTACTTTGTATATTGTTGGCTACAGTACATCCCCGTGAATCTGGAAGTTAAAAAGTTCCACACTCACATTAATGTCATGTGGATTTCCATTTCCTTTAAGCCATCAATAATGGCCTCCAGCTGGTCATTACCAAATGGTGAACCAAGGTCAGAAAAGAGGTACATCTTTTTCTCGCACTTCTTGCCTCTGAAATCAATAAATAAATTGCTCCAAATGTTTATTTTATTCACTCTTTAACTTAAGATGTATTAAAAAGCTAACAGAAAGCGAAAACTAAAGATTGATCTCACTTTGTCTGTTCTCGCAACAAGTCCATGCCAACTACAATAGCATCAATGACTAAAGATGAATTAAGGCCAAATATCACACAGGAAAACGTCCTTGCCAGTAAAGATTTAAAGGAACTGCATGTAGTTATTCTGATTATGATCAACACCGTACAGAATAAGTCATGTAGACTAATTCAGACTCATTTGAAAAAGGCAGAAAGCGATTTAAATGCAACACATGTACAGCACATGTACAAGTCATGTACGCATAATTTTATAACTTATAATTTTGTATTTAGTCAAGGATACAGTCCGTTTCAACACCACCTGTAAATAATAAGATAAAGAAAAATTTCACTGCCTGAAGTAATATTGTACCCAACAACGTACAGGGCTGCTGTAGGGCTGT